GCTAGGAAAATGCAGCTACTAGAGGTCAAGATTCAGCATCACAAAAAACTGACAGCAATCAGTATTATGACACAGTTCATGGGCCATGTAAAGCATTTGGAAAATACACTCCTTAAAGGATAAGGCCAGTCATTTTCTATATTAACGCCTGTCAGCTAGCAGTCCTGGATCAGCTTGGTCGTCTGTGCCGTATACGTTAACTGTGAGAAGAGACAGATCGCTGGTGGTTTTAGTCTTTGTACGGGGACTGTGGAAAATACTATCAGTATAAAAGATGACCAGTCTTATCCTTTAATGTTACTGGGAAATGTAATTAAACTGTGCAACTTAGTACGGTTTACATGGAAAAAATAATAACTTACCAAAACGCATCAGATACTGCTTCGTAGTGAGAGAACCTGGAACTTACATTTAGTATCACCTCAGCTTGTCCCAACAGCAGACAGTGTCTGCAGGTTAAGTTGCACATCGCCAAGTTTCCTCAGTGGAAAAGGCCTAATAAAGCAGTTGTTAAAATGTCAGCATGAAAACAGACCTTTGCTTGACATGTTTTCACACTCTGTTAGCAGTGTAACAGATTAAGGTGGTGCTCTCTGTTCTCCTGCAGGAGGTGGAGCATGGTGGTCGGGTTGAAGACGAGTTCATGGCCCAACTCATCCAGCAGCTGGAGGGACGAGTCAGCACAGAGGTATAATAATAATAATAAACATCCCTGTATCAAGCCAAATCCTGATTCTGCAGATTGGGAGCAGGTGATACGGATTGTTGTAAAACTGCTTGGTGACACAGAGCATAAACCACAGAGGCTTGTTATTCTGAGGTGATGACAGATGCAGCGCTATATCCAGTTATCAGACTGACATTTTACACCTGTTCAAACAAACCGAGGTCATTTGTTACAAGATGAAATGTGCTACAAATTTGCCTCAATACATTTATTTCAGTATCCCTCCCATTGACTCACACTTCCTGATAGCAGCAGAAAGAGACCAGAATCCAGAATGCAGTCTTTAGGAATCAAGTACAGGAAGCATTTTATTTTTAGCTGGACGTTTTCAGGCAGCCTATTAAAGGTAAACCAGTGAGCAGAGGGACTAGGTTTCCAGTGTTTATCACTGAAGTGCAGGGAAAACATTTTACGTTTTTAAGGACATCGATAGGAAGATACAACAACATTTTATAACAGACTGTTGTGCATGTGCAACACACAGGATGTAGAAATTATATAAAAACATGTACAAAAAAAAGGTCTTTGCCATTGGTGGAATGGCTGAAACATTTTGAATCCTCAGCCTGTCTCTGTGACGGAGGACATCACCGACCAGGTGACCACTGAGAACCAGAGTGTCACTTTTGAGTGCCAGATCAGGATCAACTACTCGGAGATCATGCTCACGTGGTACAAGGGCACCCAGAAACTGCACAACAGCAACAAGTACAAGATCAGCAGTGTGGGCGACCGCCATTACCTGGAGATCAAGAACTGCCAGGTCAAAGATCAGGGCAACTACCGTGTGGTGTGTGGTCCTCACATCTCCAGCGCCAAACTCACCGTCACAGGTGAGAGATGGAGTGTTTGGACATCCTGTTCTGTCTGCTGGTCATCCGTCTGTACGTCTTTAATGTGTCTTCGTGTCCACTTCCTTTGTTTTATTATCAGGAGCTGGTTACAAGGCAGGTGAGCAGTAAACTGATAGCTAACAAAACTGATCTCTGACCCTGCTACGTCACATGTGATTTATTTCTTATTGTTTTGTGTATTTCTGTTTGTTTTGTGTCCCTTCGTTTTAGTAGAGAATACAAAAAGTCTTAACACATCAAATCAATAAAATAGTTTATAAACTAACAAAACTAATAGTGTGAAGCCAGACGCTAACTCTGCTCATCTGGTTTTAGCCGACCAAATTCAGTTCACAAAATGCATCCGAAGCATCGAGGTCAATGAAAGCCAGTCTGCAACCTTCGAGTGTGAGTTATCCTTCGACAATGCCACTGTCACATGGTACAAAGACTCATGGGAGCTTAAAGAGAGCCCAAAATATAACTTCAGGACAGAGGGCCGACGGCACTTTATGACCATCCGCAACGTGACTGCAGAGGATGAAGGTTTGTTAAACAAAAAACATGAATAAAGTGAATTGGACAGTTACACTTTTAAAAACGTGCTAATCTGCAAATTTACAGAATGGCAAAAAAGAAAAGAAAACAAATGAACCTATTAAACTACACCACAAATGTTATTTATTCCTTTTTTTCAGTTGTGCAGCCTTAAATGATTACATAATTAAAATTCCAACAATAAAGCTCAGGCGAGACACCGGGGCTAGCAGATTCTGTGACTGATTAGCATGTTAGCAGTTAGCTGGCAGCTCTAGTAGTTCACTAGCCAACTGTGAGTAGACAAAGATTTTGGTTAAAAAAAAAAGTAACTTTCTGCTGTGCCTGGACCTTTATGATGATTTATTCTACCACAGTCTTTAGAATTCTACAGATTGTCAGGATTTTTAGTGAAAAATGTCCTGAGAAATTAATTGAACAGCATAAATAATGTCTCTGTCAGGCGTGTACTCTGTGATCGCTCGCCTGGAGCCAATGGGAGAAGCTCGGAGCACAGCTGAGCTTTACCTTTCAGGCAGAGGTTTGTATGTTTTATTTATTTTTTCCAGGCATAAAGAGTTACCAGAGTCAGTGGCAGGGCCTTTACAGTACAGCTTTTATAACATTTTACATTGTCCCTTCACAGACATAGGGTTAGGAAGGATTCCTCAGGGTGAGTGTTTCAAAAAGCAAAGTAAATCAACTACAATAAAACTCAGCATGTCTCCACATCTAAACCAAATCTGTGGTGTTTATTTCCTATTTAATTGGAGCCACAATGAAATAGCATCCTGAGGTTTAGGGTCCATACTTTTACAAGAAAAACTCTGGAAAAAAACTAAGCAAAACAATTTTTTAACAAATTGCTGTACATTTTTATAATGTTGTGAAAAGGAACATGTGAAAGCTTACTGTCACAACACAGGCTTAAAAATATTCCCAGTAATTTCACAATTGAAATTGCATTTATGGCAAAACCTTTAGACATCCCGGACACATCAGCTCAAGTCCCAGAAGCCGCTCCTGCTGTGGTTTCCACAGGTGAGTCTGGGACTGATTATACCAGTCCAACCAAAGTTTGTCTTCTTCGCCTCAGCCTGACTCAGCTTGTGTCATTTCTGCCAAAAGATTCCTCTGAGTTTTATCAGTATGAAGAGAGAACAGAAATGGAAGGTACAAAGTTTTGTGAATGACCACATTCTGCTGTTGAATCTGCTGTTACTTAATGTCTATGCTTTGTGTAACTGCATGAAGCAGTGTGAATCGTAGCATTTCTGCCTCATTAAACAACTTTTAACCACCACTATCCTCATCAGCACCGTCATCCCTTAACTCATCCCACATAACTGTGTGTGTTTTGAGGTCAACCCTGGCTTGTGTTGATAAGATACAGTATGAGTAAGATATGACGTGTCCTGTAATAATATCTCACTAATTTAACTTCAGCAGCTACTGTATGTCCAGCAAACTGAAATATGTTTCAGATGTTACTAAATGGAAACAAATGTATAGAAGGGAATTACAGGCCTGTGTTCTGTGATTTCTAGACAAAGTTCAGAATGAAAGAAATAAAAATTAAGGTATATTTGTCTCATTTAAACCTTGGTTTTTAAGATTAAAGTGTAAGGTGTGAGCTCTGACCTTAATCTCATCATTTTTGAAATTTAACTTTAAAACTGATTGAAAATTTAGCAAAGATTACCAGATTAAAACTGTTTTTAAAATGGTAATCAAAAGTCTGTTTTACTTATTTGAATGTTAATTTTGACAATAAACTAAAAATTTACATTTGAAATTAATTTTATGAACTCGAGCCAGATCCCTGACTCTGTCAGAGATTTTTTGATTTTAATCGCGGTTCACATATTTTAAGTTAATGATTCTCGACTAAACACTTCTAGAAATTTTAGATCAAACTCAGAAATCCAATTAATTTAGCTAACTAATTAAAATAAATTTTAAAGAGAAATCAGAATTCTGATTAAAAGCCACATTTTGAGAAAAAAGTTTAATATTAAAGTTATATTCGAGATTTATAACCTTAATCACAAAATTCTCCAAATTGCGTTAATAAATTTGATGTTTAAGTTTGAATTTTGTCCAAGTTTAAGTCTCTCTCTCAAAAGTTTGAGATTAAATCCAGACTTTAACATTTTTTACATAATCCTAATCTGTGGACTCTGCAGTCATAAAACATTTGAGTACAGGATCTCGAACAGCCGGTTATTCTCTAATGATCTGCTGTAGCTCTCGAAAGTCTGATCGTTCAAGAAGAGTTGGCCTTTGTCTGGTCCCCTGGTCACAGGTATCAGCATTACTCTGCTTTTAAAATAACTCCTCTGATCAACATAAATGCTGTCATCACACTCTGTGTCTTTAAACATGGGTGTTGTCCTCTCTATGTCTGCCTGCTGTGTTTTTATCATCAAACCCATATTTCTTCACTGGCTGTTTACCTGCAGCCAATCATGTCCTCCTTCATAACTTTGGACAGCTAAAAGCCTGCAGCAGTTCTTTCTCGTCTGAGCCACCTCTGTTTTTCTCTAAGTTGACTTTCCTCCTTCAACAGAAGAGAGCAAACCTGTTGAGGAGCTTGTTGAGATGACTCAGTTTGAGACAACCGAAGAAATCCATGAAGGTATCATTGTTTTCCAACACACGTTTGTCCATCCACTGTCCCAGAAACTACTTCACATGCCACCAGCTGCCGCTGTTATAAGCTTCTCTTAGATGTAATATTTGTGCACTTGAGCTGTTTTCAACTTCTGCTGTCATCTGCATCCTTTTATTAGTGGTTGTGTTTTGTATTACTTTTGTTAGGTTCATATTAACCATCACTAAAAAGAGAAAGTAGAACTTGGCCATCATAATTTCATGTAAACTGCTTTTCCCAGTGTCTGAGGATTACACGAGACCAGAGGAGAAACGCTCTGAGCCTGCAGCTCTGCCTCCAGCTCCAGTCAAAGGTATCTGCCAAAACCTCTTTACGTCTTAATGAATATACTACCGTAATTTTTTTCTGTTTGTTTGGAATCATTCATTTATTTAGACCTTCTTTCAGTCACATTGTTCCTTTCTTTATTTGTTTCTCTAATGTAAACAAATCTTAATGTTAGCTTGTACTGTGGTCAGAAAACTAAAATCACTGATAATGTTTTAAAGTACCTGAAACAAAGAAGCCGCAGCCAGATGCAGCTGTCACTGCTCTGCCTCAGAGAGAAGAACCTCTGGCCCTGGAAGGTAACGTTCATGACAGACATCAGTGTCAGAAATCGCTTTTATCTATGTGCTTGTGCTCTCACAGTCTTTGTTGGCTCACCTTCTTAATTCTTCATGTAAAACATACAAAAAGTGCTGAAACGTTCTCAGATTACACAGAAAGAGCAAAAATATGTACAAAGAAAATCAGCGAAACATAAATAGCAATTTTTTAAGATTGTAAAATTCTGAATTAAGTTTTTATACTACAATATCTGACAATTTACAATATCTACATGTTTCTGAATAATTTTTTTCTCAGATATTGACATGCAATGCAATACACTTTAGAATTTTTATAACACTAACCACCATTGTAGTGTTTTCAAGATTTCACGACAGTTGTATTTTTTTCCAGTTTTTATTTTTATACTCATTTTATATATTACAATATTTATATGTTTGTTATAATGCATTCTTAAATATTGACATGCAGTGCAAAAAAAATTCAAGACTAAAGCCTTTTGTTATTTGTACCAAAACTAACATCAGTGCAAATTCTAAGAATGTTGGTGCATAGAGGAAACAATTTCTTTACATTTTAGACGTTTTTCCTATTTTTACTGTATTTTGCATTTATGGCAGCAACAGTGAAATATGGTTATATGTAAGCAATTACTAGAGAACGTACACTATATTTACACGTCAGCATGAAATATAGAATAATTTAATGTTTTTTGTCCAATGAGCTTAATAATATCTATAGATTTTAAAATTCATGAAGTTCTTGTAATATTTACCCAAGTTTGAAATTTATAACAGCAGCATTTATGCAATATATTTTGTAAATTTATTTATTTATGATGTGTTAACATTAGACTGCAAAGTGACAAAATGTAGAATGAAATATGAAATGGTGACACTTTGGGTGAAATCCTACACAATCCTGTCAGTTTCTTTATCAAATAAAACTCTTGAGATGAACTTCACTTTTAGCTTTTTTTTTTTTCTTGAGTGCTGTCTGTGTAATGTAATGTTGTCTAAAGTGACTCTTTGCTGTCCTTAGCATTCTTACAGTGAACATTGTGTCCTTGGCTGTGTGTCGTTCAGTTGTCTGGCTATCTGTTAGCATGTCTGGGTAGAATTCTCTCTTAAGGCTGTGTGCGCACTGTAAACAGAAATTAATATTTTTCTCTTCACCTGGTACAATCTTCACTATACATCAAACCAGAACCTGAACCAGAACCTGAACCAGTGAGAGTTCCCAGAAAGGTCATTCCTGAACCTTACCAACCCGAGCCAGCAGCAGAGCCTGCAGTGGTTCCTTCTGAGCCTAAAGTGCCACCTCAGATACCAGCAGTACCTGAGCCCAAAGTGGCCAAAATTAGGTCTGAACCTGAAGCACCAAAAGCTGCAGCCATTGCGAAAGCACCAGAAGCTCCTAAATCAAGAGGTAAAGTAGTATACACTTCGCTTTACTACTGTTCACCTGAAAAGACAATGTGTTATACGTCTCTTATTGTTTTGTTTCATGTTGGTATGATCTACATGTGTGAGTCTTTGATATGTTAGTGTAAATCTTGATGTTTTCCGCTACTAACTTCTTCAGCTGGATCTTTTAAAAGTAATTGTCTAATACGTGTGGAGTTGACCACCACATGGTTTTTAGGGTGCTACAGGTATTTACAGTATAATCTTGTTACTCACTAATTCTAGAAATAACTTTAAAGTGGTGATAGCGAAACCTATATTTTGTTCCTAGAATAGCCTTATGATAAAGTGAAAATAAACTGAAAATGTATTAATGTTCTCTGAAGTTCCAACTGTAGCCAAACCAGAAGAGGTCATAGTTCAGCCTGCTACTGCTCAGGTTACTCCACCAAGGGTTGAAGATATTTTAACAAAAGGTACTGGAAATTCAGTGTCCTTTTCTATCTCTGAACTCTTTAGTATGTTGTCAGCTCTATGTTATGTGTTTTATGTACTCTGATTATGCGTTTTTGTAGTTGTTCTAATCACTCAACAGAGTGGACAGCAATGCTGAAATCTTAATGCTTATCAGGAAGTTACTGAACATGTACATAATGTTCACCAGAACCACCAAAGCCAGAAGAACCAACAGCAGCCACGGTTTCTCTGTCAACACTGGAACATCTTCCAGCTAAAGGTAATGAGCCTTGAGCTTTGAAATCTCTTGCTTCATTCTTTAAGTCTTTGAATACTCTCAGAAAGAGTCTTGGTCATTACAGGTAGGTTAAACAATACATAATGTTCTCTTAAGTGCAAGATATGCCCAAACCAGAGGAACCTGTAATTCAACCACCTGCACCAAAGGATATTCCCCTCAAGACTGAAGCTTTTTCAGCTAAAGGTACTGCAGAGATGCTCTCAGCAGTTGCGTTGCTGTGCTGTACTATTTTATGTTTGTGTTGTTTACATGTTGTTTGTTCAGACTGACTAGTTTCTGCTTTTTGAACTGCTTTTATGTACTGCATCATAAATACTCTTTCCAATATGTCACCTAAGCACTCTTTTAAGTATGGTTAACAAGATAATTATAAAAATGCTCTTTTAAGTTGTCTCAGAACCAAAGACACTTGAACCAAGACTACCACCAGCTGGTAAATGGGAGCCAGAAGCATCAAGATACATCTCTGAAACAGAAACCAAAGAACCAGAGAAGGTTCTGGACAAAACAGAGAGGGTTGCTGAGGTGCCAAAGAAGGTTCTTGAAACCCCAAAGAAAATTCCTGAAGCCCCAGCAAAGGTTCCAGAAGAACCAAGAAAAGGTGTGGAAGAATCCAAGAGGGATGCTGAGGTGCCAAAGAAGGTTCCAGAAACCCCAAAGAAAATTCCTGAAGCCCCAACAAAGGTTCCAGAAGAACCAAGAAAGGTTGTGGAAGAATCCAAGAGGGTTGCTGAGGTGCCAAAGAAGGTTCCTGAAACCCCAGCAAAGGTTCCAGAAGAACCAAAAGGGGTTGTGGAAGAAACGAAGGGGGTTTCTGTAAAGGCAGAGAAAAGTTCAGAGGCTCCAAAACAGATTCCTCAAGTTAAAAAACCTCAGCAACAAGGTAGATACGTTTGCAGATAAGAAACTGAACTTCTTAATAACTAATCCTTACTCACTCTTTATATGTCTGTGCAGTTCACTCTTTATATATTTTATTCTGAGATGCCTTTATCTACTTCTTCAGAGGTTTTGTCCTGATGTATGTGCTGTCATGTGTGTTGACTGTTGCATCATATCAATTATCAAAACAGCTAAACAGAGGGAGATACCCCAGGAAACAACAGTACTAATGAAACCAAAGCTGGAGGCGGTTAAACCCATCAAAGGTATGCTTAATATTACAAATTACAAATACTTCGCAGGAACCTTTAGAAAGTCTGCACAAATTTTTATCAGTTACATTTAGTTTGACTATGTGTATTTTTCTGCCCCTAAAACCAGATCAGGTTATTCCTTCTGGAAAAGTAGAGGTCCAACCAGAGTCTAAAGAAACTCCACAGCAGAGAGGTAGTGATTCTTAATGTTCACAGTTTAGTTGTAAAATGATGACTACAGTTGAATATATATCACACTTCAGTCTGCGTTTTTGTCTCTTGATGGTTTTTGTTTTCTGTTGTTTTCCTTGTGGCCACCGCTTCATGGTGCAAATCTTCAATCTTGGGTGATATCTTAATAAAATGCCCCAGTTCCCCAGAAGACTGATCTTAAGCAGACAATGGTAGAGCTTAAAGATGGCAAGAAGTCTTCTATAAAGTCAGGTCTTGGAGAAAGGATTTCGCTGACAGAAGTAGTTGGACACAGACGAGAGGAAGTCGAGACATATGAAAGGGGAGTGAAGCTCATTGAAGGAGAAGAACACAGTTTGACAAGGGAAATAAAACAAATGGTTCTTGAAAAGGAGGCGGTCTCTGCATGGTACACTGAATATCAACATTCTGAAAATACTGAGCCAACATACACAGAATATAAGGATGAAACACTGCATGACACTGAACCTTGTGATGAAAAAGACTTGCATTTAGAGGGCAAAGCTATGGACAGGAGAGAGGACATGTCTTTGAGACCCGTCTCTCCACCTCTAAAGAAAGATGACCTTCTTCCACCAAAAAAAGTTATGCCTTCACCTGAAGTGACTCGTGATATGACAAGAAAAGTGCCTCCTCCTGAAACTGAAGGCATATCCAGTACAGATGTTTGCAAGAAAACTCTTCAAGACAGGAACCTCAAGCAAGGTGATGTCCATTCATATTATACAGAGAAGAGAGATGTCAGTGAATCATTTGTATCAATACATTATGAAGAAAAGGAAGAGCAAACTGTATCCCCAATGGAGGATCTTGTTAAACCTAAAATATCTGCTACACCTGAAATAGTCACTATAACAAAGAAGCCTAGCATACATAAAGAAGTCACTCCTTTAAAGCAAACTGGCGCTGCTGATGTGGAAGAAGGTCCATCTGAAAGAGCAATGCTTCCACCTTGTATACAGACTGTTTCACCTCCATTTGAACAAAACTTACCCAAAATTCCTCCCCAAACCACCTTTTGTCATCCTATGACAACCACTAAGAAAGAAGTAATACCAAATAAGATGGTGTCTCCAAAGGAAGAAATGACAAAAGGAGAAAAACTCTGTATTGAAGACACCGTACCTCTGGAGAGACCAACTCTTGAATTGGAAAATGTTTCTGTTGAAGAACTTGTCTCAGCAGTAAATAGAGAAGTGCTACCTCAAGTTCCAGTTCAAATTCCTTTACCTGAGAAAACAGTCTGTCCTGAGGAAGAAATTTTACAACCACAGGAAACTGTTCTGCCTGAGATGAAGACCTCTCCTGCATTTCCCAAAACAGTTGTTGTTTCTACAGATGACTTCCCTCCTGAAGAAGTGATCCTACCCAAGAAACCTATCCCTGTAGACGAGATTGCTCCAACTAAAAAATTGCAGATTACACTGAAAGCGAAACCCCTTCTTGCTGAGCAAGAAATCTTTCCAGCCCAGATATTTGACTCTCTGGCACAAAGGATAATCACTCCCAAGGTTGATACTTCTGAAGAAGTGAGAACAGCCACAACTAAACCTCCACCAACAAGGGGAGATAACAAGAAATCAAAGAAGGGAACTTGGCCGGTTGAACCACAAACTCTTCAGAAAGGTATTCTTTCTTTATCTGAGCCGCACAGGCTCTTAGAGGAGCTTTAACAGGTCACATTTACTGTTCTCACAATCTTCCACCATGGTGTTTAATAAGAAGCTATGGTATGTGTTTTACTAATCTTCACATCCCTGCAGTAAGACATGATTGTCCATTGTCTTTGTGATGTCACTACTCTTCAAGATAAACCAAATACTAAGGAACCTTTTGTCATTTATTGACATCTCTCATCCTTAACATTTGGCTTTCCCCTTATCCGCTCACATGCTTCATTGATTCAGTCTTCATTCCTTCTTCTTTTCTTCTATGTTCTTGCTACTTGAAGTCATTTATGTCTAAATTCCATTTTGGTGTTAAGCCTTGGTTGACTATGTTGTTGTTTTGGTCATAATCTTGGCATCTTGTATTCCCAAAGTGTCTCCCCCAGAGGAGAAGCCATCTGCACCAGTACCAAAGCCTTCACCTCCTCCTCCACCTGCTGTTCCTGCTCCTGCACAGAAAGCTGCACCTCCTGCAGGTATTCTGTTCAGTTTGTTCCTCATCTTTACTGATTTCTCAGGAGTCAGCCATGTTGTTTTCCTCTTTTATCCATCTGTTTGTATGTGTTGTCCTTACTGACTCGTCTTCAGGTTTTAAAAAAAAATGTTTTTAACTGTCCCTATTCCTCTCTGTGTTTTGACCAAATGTATCGTCGTCTTGGTCACAATCTTGGCATCTTGTATTCCCAAAGTGTCTCCCCTAGAGGAGAAGAAACCCTCTGCACCAGTACCAAAGCCTTCACCTCCTCCTCCACCTGCTGTTCCTGCTCCTGCACAGAAAGTTACACCTCCTGCAGGTATTCTGTTCAGTTTGTTCCTCATCTTTACTGATTCTGAGGAGTCAGCCATGTTGTTTTCCTCTTTTATCCATCTGTTTGTATGTGTTGTCCTTACTGACTCGTCTTCAGGTTTTAAAAAAAAATGTTTTTAACTGTCCCTGTTCCTCTCTGTGTTTTGACCAAATGTATCGTCTTCTTGGTCATAATCTTGGCATCTTGTATTCCCAAAGTGTCTCCCCCAGAGGAGAAGAAACCATCTGCACCAGTACCAAAGCCTTCACCTCCTCCTCCAGCTGTTGTTCCTGCCCCTGCACCGAAAGTTGCACCTCATGCAGGTATTCTGTTCAG